CAGGCCCGGGGCCCGGGAGGGGCCTGGGTGGGAGGCCCGCCTTCCTCCACCCCTGAATCTCTTCCCCGGGAGGGCCGGGCGCTGTCAAGACTCAGGCAATTGCGCCCGGCCGGTGTGGCTCAGCGGCTGAGCATTGATCTATGAACCAGGAGGTCAGGGTTCGATTCCCGGTCAGGGCACGTGCCCGGGTGGCGGGCTCGAACCCCAGGAGGGGGCCTGCGGGAGGCAGCCCATCGATGATGTTTCTCTCTCATCAGTGTTTCTCTCTCTCCATCTCTCTCCCTTCCTCTCTCTCTAAAGATCAATAAACACATTTTTTTTAATTAAATAAAATAAAAAAGATTCAGGCAATTGTGTAAAAAGCACAAACGAAGTTTAAAGAAAAATCTTGTAACCAAAAATGGAGAAGCTGTTCCAACAGGCTTCCCCTCGACGTCAGTGAAGGCTGCCCACCTTCGTCTTTAAGTAGCTTTGGGCCTTGCCAGCGAGGCAACTTGACTTTCTAGGAACTGCGCCCCGGGTCACCTCCGCCCGCTGCAACAGATGGGGTGACGATGCCCCTACGGATCCTGAGACGGAACCACTCACCCAAGGGCCTGCCCGTCACACCTGAGACGCCCCTGCGGGTCATGACTTTGGGTGACACGCACCCTGCAGACCCACGAATTTCAGAGCAGAGCAATGCCCGGGGATCAAACCCAAACCCAAACCCTTCTTCCTGTCCCGGGCCACTCAGCAGTGAGCCCCCCAGTCCCAACCAAGGCGCCGCTGACCCCACAGCTCCCAGGCCCTCGGGAGCAGAACCCCCACCTCGGAGAACACCTCCGCCTCGGAGCCGCTGTGGTCCTTCTTGCCGGACATGAGCATCAGTTTGTTCAGAAGCTCCTTCAGCTCCTCCAAGGAGTAGTCTCGCCGCTCCTCGCCGCCCTCGCGGCTCTCGGGGAGGGTCAGACGCAGAACCGTGTCTGGGGAAATCTGGGGAGCGGTACTCATGTAGGGTGGCTTTCTGGAGAGGGAACTGCCCCCCCCCCCNNGGGCCCCGGCCAGCGGGGCTGGGATGCGGCCGCTCACCTTCTGGCCACCGGCGGGCGCCTGGATCACGTAGATGCCCCGGCTGTTGATGGCTCTGGCCAGGGTCAGGGACGAGCGCTCCACGGACCCGTGGCTCTCCTTCACGGTCTTCAGCCACTCCAAGTTCCTGGCAGAGTCACGCTGTGGGGACAGGAGAGGAGACAGTGATCCTGTTCTCTCTCTCTCCCCGCGGCCCCCGGCCCTCGGCCCTGGAGGACGAACACCTCCTCCGTGTTACGGGCTGGACGGGGTCACCCCAAGGCCAGGGGGGCTTCCTCGTGCACTGTGCCCTTCCACGACCTCTGTGCCCTGCTGCCTCTCTCGGGACCCCTGGGCGAGGTGGACAGAAGGCATTGTCCTGCTGGGCCCCCAGCTGGGCGGGGGGCTAGATATAACAGGGCTGGGATCCTTCCCTTCCCTTCTGAATGTCCTTCTGGGGTCCCCAAGTCCAACGTGAAGCATGAAGAAAACTATGAGAAAGGCCTTTTGTTTGGACTTGAGCTTCCAGCAGAGAAAATGACACCCCCCCACCTGCTCACTCGGTTGCTCCCCCCGGGGGATCCAGCTGCCCCAGCCAGGCGTCTGCTCATGTGGCAAGTTACAGACGAGGGGACCAGGGGTCCACGTGCACCTCCGTGAAGATGGTTCACTCAATGGAAGTGTGTATTTTTTTTTTTGATAAAACATTAACTAATCCCCACTGTTGAAAATACGGAAAACAGCAAAAAGTATACAGAATTAAATCACAATTATCATCATTCAGAGAAAATACTGGTAGCATGTTAGCATGTGTCCTTTCAGCCTTTTTAAACTTTTAAATACGTCTTTATTGATTTCAGAGAGAGAGGAAAGGAGAGGGAGAGAGAGAGAGAAATATCAATGATGAGAGTTATGGATCGGCTGCCTCCTGCACGCCGACTGGGGATCGAGCCCAAAACCCCGGCATGTGCCCTGACCGGGAATCGAGCCTCGATCTCCTGGTTCCTAGGTCGACGCTCAACCACTGAGCCGCCCTAGATGGGCTCCTATGTTTTGCATCATAGAAATTAATCTTATTTACGTGCAGTTTTGTGTCCTACTCTGTGACATACGCGATAGAGAAGCCACTTCGGCACATGAAGAAAACCTTTGTAGACATCGTTTTCAGCACGGGGCCCGCGACGGTGGGCGCAGTCATGCCCCTAGTCCTGCTGAGCCACGAGCCAGAAACGAGACTCACCAGTTTGCTGGTCAGGTGCCGGTCGTTTTCCAGAGCCTTCCACAGCTCCTCCAGGTGCTCCATGAATTCGCGGAAGCCGGCGCTCTCACCCAGGTCGTACAGCAGAGCCTTGTAGCCCTGGACGGCGTCGTGGAAGCAGGCCACCCGGTCCACGTCCATGTCGTTTTCACCGGCAAAGATGAAAGCCAGGTCCACGAACACCTTCAGCTCGGGGATGCCTTGGGGCGAGAGGGGACAGGTGAGCGCGGGGCCACTCCACGGCGAGGTGAGACTCAAAGCGTGAAGCTATGAGTGGACATTGAGTGGACTTTTCGGGGTGTGTTGTTTTTCTTCAAGCCTCACCCGAGGATATTTTTTCCATTGCTTTTCAGAAAGAGTGGAAGGGAGAGAGAGAGAGACGGTGATTGGTTGCCTCCCACACTTGCCCTGACCAGGGCTGGGATCGGGCCTGTAACCCAGGTACATGCCCTTGACTGGAATCGAACCCGGGACCCTTCAGACTGTGGGCCAGTGCTCTAACCACTGAGCCAAACTGGCCAGGCCGAGGTTATGGTTTTTGTTTTTTAATTAATTTTAGAGAGACAGGCAGAGAGAGAGAAACATCGACGTGAGAGAGAAACATTGATCGATGGCTTCACGTAAGCGCCCAGATTGGGGATTGAACCGGCCACCTAGGTATGTGCCCTGGCCGGGCATCAAACCCGCAACCTGTTTGTGCACTACGACGCTCTAACCACTGGGCCACCCGGCCAGGGCAGGGGCAAGGCTTTTAAGAAAACGACCCCCAGCTGTCCCCAGGGAGCACCCAGAGCGGAGGGAACAGTCGCCAAGGAAACAGTTTTTACACCAGAGCAGGAGGAATACTGTCCTGATGTAAATTCTACCAGCAATCCCACGCGGCGCAGGACCTAAAGAACACACACAGCGCGGCCCATCCTTCACGCAGCCGTGAGCTTAGGACAGCGCCCCGAGTGCCATCGCAACACCCAGACTCCCGCAAACCCCGATGATGACGGTACTTCTGAGGGCCTCCCGGACCCAGCTGACGAACTCCCTCCTCAGGGCCAGCTCCTGCAGACACTGGCACCGGGCCTCGTTGATGTCACACAGCAGCCTGTTGGCCTGGATGACCTTCGTGTCCATCTGGCCCAGCTTCTCATCACGGGAATTCCCAAAGATGTTGTTCTGTAAGACAAGGCTCTGCTAGGGGCTGGGACCGGTCCCCTGGACTCCCAGATCCCGAGCAGGAACACTGACCGTCCCCATAGCCCCTGCACCGCCTGGGTTTGCGGCTGCTCCGACAAGGACAGGAACACGAGGCTCTCACCCCAGAACTGGGCGCTGTGCGCCCCCCCCGCCCCGACCAGTAGCAAGCACACTGCTAAGTAGTTTCCACAAGAACTGCCCAGTATGTATGATTTCCCTGTTTGTGTGTTTGTTTTTTTAATGTTTTTTATTGATTTCAGAGAGAGGAAGGAAGAGGGAGAGAGAGAGAAACATCGATGAGGAGAGTCATTGATCGGCTGCCTCCTGCGCGCCCCCAGCTGGGGATCGAGTCAGAAACTGGGCACGTCCTGAGGGGGGATTGAACCCTGACCTCCTGGATCCTAGGCCGACGCTCAACCACTAAGCCACGCCGGCCGGGCTATTTTTCTGTCTTGTAGGTAGAAAAGCAAAGGCCCAGAAGCGGGATCCACTCAAGAGCCCGCCACTGGAGTTCAAGCTGATGTGTGTGTGATTCCAAATCATGTGCTGAATTTTTTTTAAATATTTTTTCCATTGCTTTTCAGAGAGAGTGGAAGAGAGAGAGAGAGAAACATGGATGTGAGAGAGACACAACTATGGGTGGCCTCCCGCATGTGCCCTGACCAGGGCTGGGGACTGAGCCTGCAACCGAGGTACGTGCCCTTGGTCAGAATCGAACCCGAGACCCCTCTGTCCTTAGGCCGACACTCTAACCACTGAGCAGAACCAGCCAGGGCTTGCGTGCTGAATTTTAACGCTCACACGCCTGCTTATGCTCTTACGTAGGTCACAGTGTGCCTCCTAATCGCCAGTCCTAAAACAACAGGCACCCAAAGCGACTTCTTAGCGTCGCTCCCGGAAATAGCTTCCCTCTCACGCCTCCTGTAGATGGGAGCGTGGGGGGTGGGGCACAAAGCCTCGTGCTCCGCTCTCGGCAAATAGTTAATGACCGAAAGGGCACCATGGCCCTGTCCCATGCTCTTGACCCTCAGGCCAAGGAGCGGTCACACTCCGTATAAACAGGTGAAAACCAAGCCCCTGCCACTTCCCGCACCAAGTGAAACAGACAGGAGACTCCCGTCCAGTTACCAAAAGCCAGACAGCATGTGGCCCCAGAGGGGTCTGAGCTGGGACCACACCCCCACCCCCGGAGTCCCAGGGGAATAACTTACAAGTTTTAATAAAAGGTGGAACACATCGAAGTCCCCAGTCAGGCCCAAGGTCTCCTTGACCTCCAAAATGGCCTGGGCCGCCTGGGCCGTCTGGTGCAGGTGGTGGTACTCCCGGATCTGCCCGACACACTCCTCGATCCAGTCCCCGCGGTCCCCGGGATCCAGGGCACGCATGAGGCGGAGGTCGGAGGTGAGGTCGCTGTATTTGTTCACGAAGACTTTGAACACGTGGTCGACCTCCCCGAAGGTGAGCTCCCCTGACTTCAGGTCCTTGTACAGTTTCCTGAACTTGTAGAGACAGGGGACGTACAAAACTCCACGCGCGCCCTCAAGGTCGATGACCGGGCCCGCCGCCTCCTGGAGGCTCAGCGCCTGCGCCTCCTCCGCCCAGAAGGTCTGGAAGATGTGGCTGTCCTTGAGCAAGTCTATCGTCGCGGCCATTTCCAGGATGGGGGGGCTCAGGCGGTAATGGGTTTCCCTCTCCACGTCTGAGGAGTAGGGCACCGGCTTCGTCACCACGACTTCGTTTAATCTTTTGCTGCTGAGGTCTTCCGCGTGCCTCTCCCCGAGCTCTTTGACATCCACTGTGGAGCCATAAGAGACAGTCACGGGTCAAACCTCCAGTCCCCACACGACCGTATGTCCCTTTCCCCGCATTTACCGCCCTCGCTGCTCCTGAGAGAACTCAAGTGAACACACCGGCCGGCGTTGTTTTTGCTCAGTAAGAATCTGGCCACCCCCACCCCACACCCACCTCCTGTCCACCTATTTCCACTGCAGAGGGGCACCCAGCGCAAGCTCTGGGCGAAGGGGAGGGTTTGAAGGCCTGCGCCCCTCCCACACCCCGCTGCCGCGAGGCCGCACAGAGGGGGTTTGTACAAAGTCACAGACCCGCAGGGCGGGGAGAGCCAAGGGAGCGCAGAGCGACCCCACGCCGGGAGTTCAGGCGGCTGGGCCCCGGCTGCAGAGCAGGGAGGCGGTGGAGGGAGCGGGAGAGGTTACGTGTGTCGGGCCGGGGACAGAGCGACAGAGAAACCGAGACCCTCGCCTTCCGCAATGGATGGCGCTTAACTCCAGAAAATCAAGGCGCGATCTAAGCGTGTTATGGATGGAGGTGGGGTAACTACCGAAGGGAACGTGGTGACCGTCTCGCTCTGTTTAAAATGCACACGTCACAGAAAGCCCGCCCGCCGAGAGCCAGGCCGCCGTGGCCGCCTGTTCCCACGGGCCCTCCGCCCACCCACGCCGTGCGTTCAAGTCCTTTCCCGCATCACCTTTCACCAGGTGCTGCACCTCCGCACACAGCTTCAGGAGGCTGTCGACCCAGCCCTTCTCCTTCCACAGGCATTTCAATTCTTCCCATCTGTCATTCAGCTCTTTCTTCATATCGTATTTCTTTTCCTGGGAGGAAAGACTTTCCTCCTCTGGGGGAGAAAAAAAGAAAAGAACCCAATAGGACAAACAAACAAACAAATAAACGCATTCTTCTCTGTGGCAACCATTCCTTCCCTCCCCGTTTGAACACACGGCCATTGGGGGCCGCGGGGCCCCGACCAGGGGGCTGGACGCGGGGGATGCGGGCCCCGCAGCGTGGAGTGGAACAGAGTGAGCGCGCCGACTGTGCCGGGATTTAATCCCCCCCCTTTTCCTGGGGACTGGGCACCACGTGACACTAAATGCCGCATGTGACTCTTGACCAGAATCTTTTTGCTACACATAACAGCAAAGACACCATCGGCCAAACCCGGATGGGTAGCAACACGCAACACAGTAACCTATCTGGGTCATCCCCTGCCCCAGCCTCCACTGTTACATTGTAGCAACAACCCCTCCCCCGCTTCCACTGTTACATTGTAGCAACACCCCCAGCTTCCACTGTTACATTGTAGTAATGCCGGGAGGTTCTTATTTACAGGAAACACAGGCTGAAGTCTGATCGGGCCTCAGTTTGGCAACTAATTCTCAAACGGTGGAGGGTTTTTTAAAAGTTGTTTTCAACGTATTTCCCATTTTTTTAAAACTTTGTGACTGTTTCAAAAATAAACTCATCGATCCAAAAGAAGGAAAAAAAAAAGAAAAAAAAGAAACCATCCCGTCAATTTAGCAGCAAGAAGAGCTCCTCGGCGTCACAAGGACAAGCACCGCCCTCCTGGGAAACAGCGAGCACAGACGTCCCCTCCCGGGCCTCAGCCGCCCGCTCGGCTCCACTCACTCAGCTCCCAGATGGCGAGGAACTGAACCTGGTGACCGATGACCAGCTCCAGCTGCCCGACCGGTACCGATCCCCTCAGGAGGTCCTCGGCCACCTTGGTGAAGACGGAGTCGGCCGTGGCCATGAGGTTCTTGGCGTCCTCTGTGATGTGCGCTTGGATTTTTTCATTGGTTCCTGCCCAGGTCGAGGACAGTGTTCAAACCGGTGGGCACCCGCATCCCGCCCACATCCCCTCTGCAAGCTGAGGGCCGCCTGGGCCCCCCGCAGCGCGGCCCCAAAGCCCGACAGTCCTAGCAGAGGCTCCGGGGTGCTTCTCCCTTCGCTCGCTCCAGAGTTTAGGTCTTACTCGAACTCATCTCCCAAGCGCTTCCTTGACCACGAATACGACCCCCTCCCACAGCCGCAAATGGGGGGGGGGACCACGTTTCTCAGACTTTTAAAGCCCATGCGCCCTTCAGTACTGGTTCTCATCACACAGCGGACACCCTGGCCCTCGCTGGGTCCCTCCAGCCAACCCGCTTCCCTGCGGGACACCGCCCATCCTTCCTCGGTGTCAGGTCAAATGTTCCGCTCCACCCAAGGTCAGGGGGATGCTGAGTGGGACCCCCCTCCCCGAAAACATACTGTACAGTTTGAAGAGATGCTTGACGTCCGGCCCTGTGAGCAGGTACTTCAGAATCTCCCCAAAGTCGACCACGGCTTCTCCGTGCCTGCTGGGCCAGGACTTGGTGATCACAGCAGACACGAGGGTCCCGAATTTCCCCAGGTCCCTGGGAGACAGACCCTCGAGGATGCTGGTCTGAGACTGTAAGAAAAAGGGGGTTTAGGAGGCTTTTTTTTTTTTAAATAAAAAAATTGGTTTGTTTTTAAGTAACGGAAGTAAATTACCCATTAGGGTTTCAGAAACCTTTCGTGCGAAGTTTTACAAAGCTTCAAAAAAAAGCAATAGAGCACAATGCTTCCCCTTTGTTAGGGCATTTTGTTTCCCTGTGAACTGTGTCCTTGGGGGCAAAGCCTGGAGACGTGGGGACGTGCACACAGACACACACGGGCCGGGCCCTGAGTCGCGCCGCACCCCTCCCTCTGGCTCACCGCCAGTCTCTACATTTTTTCCTGGACTCTCGTATCACGCAAAACGCCGACCGCTGCCTCAGCGCGCAGGACTGCGCCACACACTGCGCTTCTGAACTGCCGCCCTTTCCAAGGCGGCCTACAAACTGCACGTGCTCTTCAGCGCTTTCTCTGCTTCCCCACCAAGAAACAAAATGTTTCCCTCCTTTAGGCTCAAAGTTTTTACAGAGTTTCAGTGATTAGTAAAAAAATTAATAAATCGACGTAGGATTTGTTTACAACAGATACGTTCTGATATTTAAAAGAATAAAAGCAAGCCTTGTCCAGCACCTTACAAAAAGGATTCAGCACCACAATGAAGTGGGATTTACCCCAGTGAATTTATCCCAGATGGTAGGAGGTCAGTTCATGGAATCCACCGTGTCAACAGGAACAATCACACCATCGCCTCAGCAGGCACAGAAAACGTATTTGACAAAATCCAACACCCTTTCTTGATAAAAAAAAAACACCCAAACTAGGGACAGAAGGAGCTCCCCACACAAGGAAGGGCACCTGTCACCCGTGGGAAGTCCTCTGCGACCTCACACTCGGTGGAGAGAGAAAGGGCAAGAGGCCGCCCCCTCTCCGCTTCTGTCCAGCGCTGTGCTGGAGGCTCTGCTCACGGCCATCGCGCAAGAACAAGGTATAGCCGGTGCCCAGGTTAGAAAGGGGGAGGAAGAGCCACCTCTACTCACAGGTGACACGATCCCACGGACAGAAAACCCTAAAGAACACGCGCACACACGTGCACACACATATGCATACATACACCCACCCACGTGCACGCACACACATGCATATACACACGCACACATACACCCATGCACACGCACGCACACATGCACACGCATACACCCACCCACGTGCGCACACACATGTGCACACACGTGCGCACATGCACATATACACCAATGCACACGCGCGTACACTAAGAAGGAGAATGTCCCTGAGAGGTGGTGTGGGGCAGAGAATCTCCCTATTTTTCAGAAGAAAACCTAACTGAATGGACAGGACCGGACGTTTTCCAGACACTTCTTCCATAAATGTTCTGTCAGCCTTTGGCGTCTTTTACTGCGCATGCACCAAGCAATGTCAGAGATGACACACGCCAGGGGTGGTGATTTCACGGGGGCCTTCAGCAGCGGCCCATGACACCACGGGATTCAGGGTCACCCGTGGGTGGCTGTGACTTATGGCATGTCACAGCCGCCATGTCACAGCAGGAAGCTGAGTGGCATTTTGAGGTCCCGGATCCCAGAACTGGCCTGCAGGCCAGGAGGGGGTGCCCCACGGCCTTGCTTGGGGTTGCAGCCTGGTCTCAGAACCAATGGGCACTTAACAGCTCTTCCTGACATCAGAAGGCAGCTGTGACCTCAAATGTGTCCCCAGAGGGGGAGCTTGCTCACCTGGCAGGCAGAGCTGACGGCTTCAATGACACAGTTCTTGAAGCATCTGGACACACTGTCATCAGGGCCCTTGGCGTCCCAGTTGGTGTTGCAGTAGGCGGAGATCTGGGCGTGGGGCGTCTCCTGCCAGGACACAAGGGGCGATTAGGGCTGTGGGGGCGGCTCTCCCGGCTTGATCAGGCGAAGACACCCCAGGTATTTTTACTTTCCCACTATTTTATCAGTTCCCCACTGTCCGAACCTCCTTCCCGCCCCACACTACGTATGTCCTCACTGACCCCCAAACATCAGACCAACAAGAATACAACTCAGCCCGGCCAGTGTGGCTCAACTGGTTGGGCGTTGCCCTGTGCGCCAAGGAGCGGCCAGTTCAATTCCTGGTCAGGGCACATGCCCAGGTTTCAGGCTGGATCCTCGGGGGGGCTTGCAGGAGGCATCGGATCGATGATGTTCCCCTCTCATCATCGATGTTTCTCTCTCTCTCCCTCTCCCCGAAATCAATAAAAACATATATTTTTTAAAAAGACTAAAATTCAGTCTCTTCTCCCACTTTGCAGATGAAGCACCTGCCCTGCAGGTTGCAAAACCAGTGAGTTTTGAAAGCGAACTTGATCTCTCCTCAGCTGTTTTCCTGCAAAGGTCCACTGAACTGTGACATGTAAAATCCACGTCACATCTGACGATCAACCTCGAGGTGCCCAGGGTCGCGGCCTGAGCTAAAATGAAGGCGCTTCCGTGTTCCCCCCGCTCGTTGCCGGGTTTCACCGGCTCCTGTTGTCCCCAGGACCTGCGGAGGCCCCGCGACCCCAGCGAAGGCTGCACTGGGACCGCAAACACGGTCATATTTGCCCCATCCCTGTGCACAGGAGGCCCGTCCGCCCACTCAGATGACCCTCTCTCCCCTGGCCGTCCCCAGTGACCTTGCCCCCGACCTCGGGTACCTGCTTGAGCCTTCCTTCCAAGTCCCCCAGCAAGGACGCCTTCCAGCCATGCTCCTCGGGGAAGTTTATCTCCACCAGCCGCTTCCAGACCTGCAGAAGCCATGGGTGAGTGTCGGCCCCGTGGCGAGGAGATGCCACAACGTAAGTCCACGATCAGGAACAACTACTGTGGCGAAGCAGAGAGCGCTGGCCTGCGAGGAGCCCGGGCATCGGACCTGGCTGCTGCCACCGAGCTGTCGGCGGGAGCCAGGGCACCCACCTTCGCCCCAGAAAACAAGGGGCCCCGAGTGCGCAGGTGCCCACTCCGGTGCTGCGCCTCCCTGCGGAGCACATGACGCTATCCGACGCCTCTCATCCTGGAAACCCTCCCACCTCCCACCTCCCACAGTGTGAGGTTGATTTCTCTCTTTCTGAATTCAGATGCCACTCTGCCGGCTTCCCTCCTGAGCAGCTCCCGCCTCAGTCTTTTCCTCCAAGTCCGACGTCAAAAACTTCATCCATAACCTCGGCACCGAGTCAGACCCCTGCAGGCCGCCGCCCCCGAGCGCCTTCCCGACAGGCCTGCCCAGCGCCAGCGCTCCCAGCGGGCAGCCCACCAGCGCCTGGCCCTCGGAACCCGCCGGGGAGCAGCGGGGACCGGAGGCCGGGGCACAGGATGGGACAACCAGCTGAGGTCCCAGCGCTCGGGATGCAGGCCGGGCCCACGGCGTCGCATCCCGGGGCTGACACACGTCACAGGCTCTGTGCTGTCCCCCAGCTCACCTGGATCTCCTGTCTGTACGTGAAGGTGACAGAGGAGGCAGAGTAGCTCAGGAACATCTTCTTCTTGAAGATCCGGCTGAGCCACGCCCTCGTGGCGGCGAGGGTCTGCTGGACAAGGGTGCTCACGCAGCTCTTCACGCCGGTTTCACTTCCCTGCCCCTCGGCCGAGTCCTGTTACCAAAGGGCAGGGGGAGAGAGCGACAGGACCTTCCTGGTGTGGCCTCTGCGACTGTACTGAAGTGAAAGTTTACGGGAAAAGCCCAAGCCCTGCCCCAGCCACCTGCTCTGCTCTCTAATTGCCCGGCCCGCGGACATTCCGACTGTGGCTCCCTTCCTCCAATGGAGGGGCCGGGGCGAGGGGCACATNGGGGCCGGGGCAAGGGGCACACGGGTTCGCCACAGCATCCTCCACGCACAGGACCGACCGCCATCGGCCCGGCGCCGACAGGACCCAGCGTCGGTGCCGGAAGCAGCCCTCGAGCGTCATCCCGCAGCCCTCCGGGGAGCCGGGCTCCGGGCTCCGAGCTCCTCAGCGAATCGAGGGCACTTGAAATCCCATCGCTGTCCCGGGCATGACGCTACGTGTGCGTGTGCCACTCACCGCCAGGGGCCTCCGTGGGATCACGCTGCGCACAATCTGGGCGGACAAGGCGGGCACCTCGTGAGACTCCGGGTCCTTCGTGAGTCTGCAGGTGGCTTCGTGCAGCTTCAGGCACACAGCCGGGTAGGACGGGATCAGGGGCTCCTCGAGAACCCTGCCCGGCAGGGAGCCAAGAGAGATCAGGGACCCCAGGGAAGTGGGAAAACGGCCCCGTCTTCCAGGGCGAGCCCCTTCCCTTTAAAGTACCAGCAGGGGAGGCATTTACTGGGCCCCACACAGGTAACATCAGAAACGTTTCAATCCATCTCCAACTTGGAACCAAGAGAAAAGGCAACCAGAGTCCTTTGGGCTGCCTCCCTGGTCTACACTTGTTTTTTTTTTAATTTTTTAAAAATATGTTTGATTTTAGAGAGAGGAAGGGGGAGGAGAGAGAGAGAAACATCAACACCAGTGACCTCTTGGTTCAGGGGTTGACGCTCAGCCACTGAGTGACACCGGCCAGGCTGGTCCGAACTGTTTTCACAAAATAAGTTAAACTGGTCCAAAGGTGCCACCTTACTTGGAAAAAAGCCAGGGATGTGCATTACTAAAGATTAAACTCTTAGGTAAATTTGAAAACAGTTCTGGAAGACACAGGGAGGGAGGAAGAAACGCCAGAAGACCCCGTGCCGCGTAATCTCCTCCAGGTGGGCACCAGGCTTCCCATCTACTGACTGGCGTGTGGCCAGAGGCGACAGGGGCTGAGCCCGTCAGTGGGGCTTCGAAGGCGGCCACGGCAGGGAAAGGCCAGGCGACGAGGCCACGCACAGAGCTACCGTATTCTCTGTACCCGCCCTCCCGGTGTCAGAGGTCACAGCAGCTGGCAGGAGTTAAGGATTTCGGATGAAACCGTGGAGACACTTGGACATTGACATGTGAAGGCTCAACGCTGAAGGAACCCAGGGCCCAGGCACGGGTGGGCCCCATGATGACAGCCGTTGAGAAATAAGTGGAAAATGCATAGAAAAAAAAACACCAGGTGGAAATAACTCAACATGTCAGTTGTTTATAGCTATTATTTTCATTTAAAAACCGGGATGATTGCCCGGCTGGGCGTGGCCCAGCGGTTGAGCATTGACCTATGAGCCAGGAGGTCGCGGTTCGATTCCCGGACAGGGCACAGGCCCGGCTGCGGGCTCCGTCCCCAGCACGGGGCCTGCAGGAGGCGGCCGATCAGTGACTCTCATCATTGATGTTTCTCTCTCTCCCTCTCCCTTCCTCTCTCTGAAATCAGTAAAAACATCTAAGAAAACCCAAAACAGGTTGATTACATTAATAACTGGAAGGAGTAACGTCAAGGTATACATGGGTTTATGACCCTCTGATTGTGGCAGCAGCCACGGGGGAGCGACCGGGCGAGGGACAACCGCGTGCCCGACAGACCTCCTCTTGCTGTTCTACGTACGTGTCCTGAAAGATGTCCAGCAGGTGCAGCAGCATTTTCAGAGTCTTGTCGATGTCCTGGGGGGCGAAGGAAAGACAGACAGGAGAGGCTTACTCACGGCTCAAGCGGACCTGAAAAATACCAGCTAAATAAAGCCCGGCAAGGAATTCTTTTCTTCCTACAAACGCCGTCTAAGGTGCTCAAGTACTAAACTTGATCTCCCAGAAATAAAATTCTGGATTAAAGTTATAGGCCCAGCCCGGCCGGGCCTGGCTCAGCGGTTGAGCGTCGACCTAGGATCCAGGCGATCGGGGTTCGATTCCCGGTCAGGGCACATGCCCGGGTTGCAGGCTGGGCAGCCGATCAATGACCCTCTCATCATTGATGTTTCTCTCTCTCCCTCTCCTTTCCTCTCTCTGAAATCAATAAAGATACATTTTTAAAAAAATAAATAAATAAATAAAAATAATAAAAAAATAAAGTTATAGGCCCAGCTGGTGTGGCTCTGAGGTTGAATGTCAACCGTGAGTCAAGAGGTCCCTGGTTCAATCCCCGTCAGGGCACGTGCTCGATCCCAGGAGGCAGCCGATCAATGACTCTCATATTGATGTTTCTATTTCTCCCTCTGAAATCAATAAAGACATATTTAAGAAAAAAAAAAAAATTTAAAAATGTTTTAAAATGTTAAAAAATTATGCCATTGTTTCCACCCCCAAAATGGGAGGGGAAGCTGGTAGCAGTGACGTGCGCCCGCGCTCGGGGTGACGTAGCGCCCTGCCTCACGCAGACGTGAAGAAGGAAGGGCCGGAGTTTTAATGAAACGGAAGAAACAGGGCCCCTCCGGGTTCGGTTTCTATGCCCTTCGCCCCGTCGGGTTCTCCGGGAAGGGGCAGCGGGCCCTGCACGGTCACTCGCCGGGGCCCTGCGGCTGACCGGGAACTCGGGGGCCCGCCGCCGATGACAGACCTGCAGGTTCCCGGTGGAGACCTCCTCCAGCTCCTGCAGCCGGTACAGCGTCCCGAAGAGACAGTCCAGGACGTGAGCCGGGTGGCAGCACAGGTGGTCCGAGGACGCCTCCAGGTAGGCAGCCAGGCTGCTCAGAGGCAGCAGGCTGAGCCAGGACCGGAACAGGTCTTCGTCCAGGCGCAGCAGGTGCTGATGCTCCGCCATGAGCTGGAGCAACTGCCTCCTGGGGGGGGGAGGGGGGGCCGGGCGAGCGCCGTGAGACACGGGACACGGACCAAGTGGCGTCAAAGCCCGTCCAGGTTTTCAAAAAAGATTTAAACGCCACGTAGTGGGTCAAAGGAGCATAAACAATAGCACATTAGGGGTTGACCAACGTGGATGAACTTGGAGAACATCACGCTGAGTGAAATAAGCAGGCAGGAGACAGGTACCGTGTGGTCCCAGTTGCCTGGAGTACACAGCGTGGTCAAAAGCCCGGGGACAGAAAGCAGGAGGGAGGTAACCAGGAGCTGGGGTCGGGGGAGGAGCGAGTGTTTCATGGGGACCCCTTGCCGTCTCCCCAGCCCCCTGGTAACCAAATTCTACTCAGTTTCTATGAGTTCGACTTGCTTAGATTCCATATATGAGTGAGATCACACAGTGTTCATCTCTCTCTGGCTCATCTCGCCTGGCCTAATGCCCTTCTTTTTCATGGCTGAATAATACTCCACTTTATTTACACACCGCATCTTTCTGGCCCATCCATCCGTTAACAGACACTTAGGTTGTTTCCACATCGTGGCCGCTGCGAGGGACGCTGCCGCGAGCGGCGGGTGCAGAGATCCCTTCGAGACAGTGGCCGCGTTTCCTCGGGACACCCGGGTCACACGCGGGCCCATTTTACGTTTCACTTTTCGAGGGACCTCCATATCATCTTCCAAAGTGAGTGCAGTAATTCACCAATTACCCTTTTTTGTTGTTGTTAACTCTCACCCGAGGATATTTTCTCCATTGATTTATTTTTATTTTTATTTTTTTAGTGAGAGAAACATCCATGTGCATCTCTCTCACACCGATGGGGACAGGGAACGAGTCTGCAAGCGAGGTGCGTGCCCTTGGCCGGAACCAAACCCCGGACCCTTCTGTCCGCGGGCCGACCCTCGAACCGCAGAGCTGCACCGGCCAGGGCCGGTATTAACCTATTTATAAGCACTTCACCCGTGTTTGTGTTTCTCTGGTTTCGATCTAAAGTTTGCACTTACACTGGAGTCGCCATTTCCCCTGCAGACTGTTGTGCTTTCTCTCTTTTCAAAGAAAAAGCCGGTACTTCACACCCTGACGATTGTCACTGGGCCATTTTTGTATTTTTTTAAAATTTCACATTTTTTTTAAAAAGTCATTATACGGAAGGGACGCGTCACCTGTGTCCCTAGACGTGGGACTCCACTGCGACCATGGGGGGGGGGAGGCGCGGTTCCGGAACTTACCCATGAGTGTGTTTTGCCCGAAACCCCAAGAAGGGGATTCCCTGGAGGGCTGCCCAGGTCTCCTCATGCTGCTGGATGCCGGGGTCCCTCCCTCGAGGGCTCTGCCCCTGGCAGTGGTGCAGCACAGGCAGGGTGCCCACCCAGAGGTCGACCCCATGGTCCATGCTCTCTTTGCACAGGCTCACCAGGTACTCTCGCCACCTGGAAAGGGAACAGAGGCCCTGCAGTGAGCGACGGAGTCAGCGTCAGGCTGGCCCTTGGTCCCATGTCCTGCCAGGGAAGGGCCAGCTCCTCCCACAGGGCGGAGAGGAGCCCTCCGGGTGGCTGGGCAGAGGGACCAGACCGGGGAGGAACACAGTAGCACGGGAGACAGGGCACCCTGGGCACCCCCCAAAGCACAGGGCACGGAACAGGCCCCCTCCGGGGGCCCACAGCAAACTCCCGATGGCGTCATTTTCACACCGAGGTCTCTCTCTCCCCCCCTTCCACTCTCTCTGAAAAGCAACGGAAAAAATATCCTTGACTGAGTGTTAAAAAAAAAAAAAAATTGGCAACAGCCAACACAACAATATCCATTCAGTGTAAATGCATCAAAATTATACCTGTTTTTTCGGTCAGACCAGCCAAAGCCTTTTTTTTTTTTGGTGTGTGCCGCAGAATTTTAGTAATTAGGAGATGAAAAAGGTAGAAAATCAATGGGCAAGAGGAATAAATGTTGAAAAGACAACAGTGAGTGGCAACATTATGGGCGGTTTTAATTTCTTGCATTTTTCCCCTGCCTTCTATGAGCAGTATTTATTTTTATAATTAGATGAAAACCATTGGAAATGGCTATAAAGTTATCTCTCCCCCCCCCCCC